TCCTCAAAGACAACACTCCTTACTTTATCTTCTCCCCTAAACTCGACATCCTCAAGGAATCTCGCATTTCCCGTCTCGAAGAAGGACCTAGTAGTAGGATTGTAAAACTTGAAGCCCCGAGAGCGTTCGGCGTATCCAACAAAGTAGCAGCTGACTGTTCTTGAGTCCAATTTTTATTCATTTGGCCTATAAGGCCTCGCCTCAACTAGACAACCCCAAACATGTAAATGCATAATGCTAGGCTTCTTTCCAGTCTATAGTTCATAGGGGGTTTTGGCCATTGCTTTGCTTAGAACCCTGTTAAGGATATAAACTGCAGTCTTTAGTGCTTCTCCCCAAAGTGATTCAGGCAAGGAAGAATGACTAATCATGCTTCTCACCATGTCTTTAAGAGTTCTGTTTCGTCTCTCAGCAACACCATTCATGCTAGGTTTGCCAGGCATTGTGTATTGCGGGATGATTCTATATTCTTTTAGGAAGATAGTGAATAGTCCTGGACGTTGTTCACCTGATCCGTCATATCTGCCATAGTATTCGCTACCACGATTTGATTTGACATCCTTAATTTTCTTGCCTAGTTGAATTTCAACTTCGGCTTTGAATTCCTTGAAAACGTCCACTGACTATGACTTTTCATGTATTAAGTATAGGTAACCGTATCTTGAATAATCATCTATGAACGTAATGAAGTATTATTGACCATTCCATGAAGCCGTAAGGAATGATCCACATATATATATGTATGAATGAGTTCTAAGACGTCTGTAGCCCTGTCGGCACCTAATTTCCTTGTGTTTGTCTATTTCCCCTTGATGCACTCAACGCGAACTTGAAAGTTTGTCAAACCTAGGGGACCAAGAATTCCATCACTCACAAGCCTCTGAATTCTCTGTTTAGAGATATGACCTAAACGCTTGTGCCATAGGGTGGCAGAATTCTTATTTAATTTTCGCTTTGTACCTCGTGCACTAGTGTGCAAAATTTCATTATCAGAAGTAATAGTATCAAGCATATAAAGATTATCAATTAAGGAACCAGTACCAACAACATTTGAATTATGAGAAAGACTAACTTTATTATTTCTGAAAGAACAAGAATAACCGGATTTGTCCAAACTAGAAATAGAAATTAAATTCCGTCTAAATGACGGTGCAACTAAAGTCTCAATCAAATTCAAATAGACACCAGTCTTTAATAATAATCTAAATGTTCCGACAGCTTCAACTGGAACTTTCTTGCCATCGCCCACGGAGATGAATCTTTCAGCATCATTTGGCAGTCGGTTTCACAGGCAACCGTGCATAGACATACTAATGTGAGTAGTAGCACCAGAATCTACCCACCAAGTATCCTTAGGTACATAAGCTAAATTAACTTTAGAACAAACCATAATGAGAGTCTTTCCTTTCTTGCAGAAATAGCAAGTGAATTTCTCAACCTGCTTCTTTACTTTCTTTTGTTTAGGTGTTCTTTTTGCAGTATTCATAGCTCTCTTTTTGTTCTTATTCTGAGAGGTTGATGCCAAGTGAGCACTTTCAGTCCTATCTCGCTGAAGCCTTTCCTTTTCTTGCACACAATATGATTTGAGCTCATTAACAGTCCATTTTTCCTTTTAGATGTTATAGCCCACCTTAAATTGAGTGTATTGTGCAGGAAGAGCTATGAGAACTAAATGCATGAACAAATCCTCAGACAGCTCTAACTTTAGTGCCTTTAGTTTCCCAACGATGTTAGACATTTCCATAATGTACTCCCTTATGTTCCCATTTGCCTTATACCTTATGGAAATGAGTTTATTCAGAAGGTTACTCGTTTCTGACTTTTCATTCTTGGCAAAATATTGCTCAAGTTCTTTAAGGAACTTCTTGGCATTAGTGCTCTTGGTAATAGAGCCCCGAAACGCCTCCGGAATGGATCATTTCATGATCATTAGACTCATGCGGTTAGAGCGGTCCAACTTCTCAATTTTATCCGTGTTCAGATTTTCCGTAGTAGCAGTAGGACGCTCTGTCCTGAGCGCAAGGTCTAAGTCCATACATCTGAGAACGATTTCCACGTTATCTTTCCAAACTTTAAAATTCATCCCATTCAGCATTAGGATTGTGTTAACTTGAGTAGAAACATTCACAGCAGTAGCAGAAACTAAATAGAGAACAAAAATAAAATATACTCACAATCAACATTCACGTCATACTTAAGCATAATCAACCATATAATGCATACATGACATAAACAAATAACTCGAAGCAAGGTAATGGGCACATTTCAAGAAACCTAGCACAACACTGATATTTAGTCTTTGGACCAAAAATATCAGCTTGTAAGTGATACTCTCCGCGCAGTAATCAAATATTGACAATAAATCCTGTCAAACAATAGCCTTCCTTTGGGCCGACTATTGCTCACATGGAGAGTTTTATGATTGTCACATATTTATTACCACAGGTATACCCATTATTCGGCCAAATAATAACCTTCCTTTGGGTCGATCATTATTCGCATAAATAATAGGTATACTCATCTTTATATTTTAAAATAAATCAACATCCACAACAGAGGTTACTTTGGCAACAATATTATTTCAATCAATTTATTTCAAAATACAAGACAATTGAGTGCAATAATAATCAAATAAAACAAAATAAAGAACCGGAATTTCATTTTACTCAATTGAATCCTTAATTAATTTGCACTTAATTTCTTAATGGGTTAAAAACAATGCCCAAAATCTCCAAAATTGGGTTTAAAACAAACCCATAATTGTCAATTTTGGTAATTATTTTTCTTTGTGGCCGCAGGTATAGCCTGCGGTCCTTATTCTAAATCACAGGCCCAATTGGGCATGTGGCCCATACTTTGCCACGGGCCCTAAATGGGCCCGTTACTCCCTTTTTTTTTTGGTTCTGGGCCGAAGCCCAGAACTTTGCCCTAGGGTCGCAACAGTGTCGCGACCATTCTTCTCCACTAGCAGCCGCCAGACCGCCAGTCCCCATGCCGCGGCCGACCGGTAGCGGCAATAACTGTCCGGCGCAGTCCAACGGCTGCGCCTGGGAATCCAGATGCCGGCGCCGGCAACAAAAATTTTTTTTATTTCCTTATGCGGCGGCCGTGGCCACCACTGGTCTTCATCTCGCCGCGGCCACAGGCCGCCGTAGCTTGCCCATCGGCGCGGCCCAATGGCCACGCCCTTGATTCCTCAGTGCCGGCGGCCAAGGCTGCCACCGGCCACAATCTTCAACCCAACGAAAAGAAGAAGAAAAAAGGAAAAGAAAAAAAAATTTCCAGAAACACCCGAGAGTGGAAAAAAAAACTTCTCAAATAAATTCCTTTACCAAGTTTCCTTAATCCATAATTTTCCAAATAATCAATTTTGTGAATAATAAATAATTCTGAATTTATTCAACAATTATCTATATACATGATTTTCTTAGAAAATAAAGCATATCTAAAATTCCATAAATAAAAGAAAAATCATATGAATAAATCAACATGATATTCAGTTAGAGATATTGGAAATAAAAATTCTCTCAATAATTTAATGTGATAACCGCTCTGATACCACTTGTTTGGATCTTTAAATCCTAGTTCCACATTCCAGGAATCATCACAGCAAATTACCAAGAAAATAGGTTAGAATAAATATCTGCCTCCATTGGTGCAGCCTTGAATCTCCAGTAGAATTCTCTAAGACAACAAGCATGATGGTTATTGCCTTCCTCAGTCAAATCTCTTTAGTTCCTTAATGGGGTCTTTTCTCTCTAGATGGGGAAAAATGAAAACTGCCGAATGATTTGACGTCTTAGGGACCATAACCTAAGTTTCTTTATATACTGTCCCATTAGGCTCCCATTAAACCTAGTTGGGTCAATATGAGTATCCACCTATTCAGCCAATACCCTGTTAGGAGACTATTTGGGCTTTCTATAATTAGATCACTCAATTAATTAAATGGCTTAATATAATTACTGAATAAATATGTGGCTCACAATATAAGAAACTCACGTTTCCTAACATTTTAATCATATATTAGTCACGTGACGTGCTGATAAAAGATAATACAAGAAGATAATAGCGATGCGGGGTTGCTAGCAAAATAGGAGGCAACACTTGCTCAAGTGATGAAGATTTTATGTTTTTTTTCTTATTTTTTTAATTTTAAAATTTACTATATTTTCTTTTGTTAATTCACCGTGTTCTCCATATGTGATTAAAACATTAAAAAAATGATGAATGTATTAAAATTGACAAAATCATAACTTATTATGAGGTTTTTTTTGTCTTTGTGCAAAATGAAACAACTATTGTTCTTAGAAGTTGATTTGAAATTAATTTTTCTTCATAACCTACCGTGAAAATCTAATGAAAAGTAAACCCTCAATATAAGAAAGCCTTAATATTATTAATAAGACGTTTAAAAAAAAGATTCGTGTCATGATTTGAATCATGATTCGTGATTTATTATAATATTTTTTTTTATCTAATGAAAAGTAAACCCTCAATATAAGAAAGCCTTAATATTATTAATGAGACGTTTAAAAAAAAAGATTCGTGTCATGATTTGAATCATGATTCGTGATTTATTATAATATTTTTTTAAAAAAAAATACACATAAAATAAAAATAATTTTAAATCATAATTTTAAATTAATGAACCAAACATTCTCTAATTTAACTCCAAGGAACGAACACAAAGATCGTACTTGCGTATGCATAGCACCATTACCATGCAAAACTTTGTCTACGTGTATACGTCAGTATGATGACGCGCACAAACAAAACAAAGCAGATCCACAAACGACACGATCGACGAAAACGTCACCGTACGACACAACAAATGCGAAAGAATTGTACGGCAGAACAACAAAACAAACTACTGACTCCTTACGGTGAATCACCACCACACGAACTTTCCCTCCGCACGCACAACGAGGAAAACAGTGTACTGTAGAGAAAGGAATGCCAAACTGGAGGACAGACAAACCAAGCGCGTTCCAGCCTGGCGCTTTGCCATCTTTCCCTTTTTTTTTTCCAAATTATTTTATTTTCGGCGTTTTTTCCACTTATGCACTTGTCTACATCTCGCTCTCACTCAATCCCATGGGCCCCACTCCGGACTGCAATTACCAAACCACCCCTGCCTTGTCCAAGCAAATAAACTAATAATAAGCTTATTTCTCTCTCTCTCTCTCTTATCCCATTTCTCATTTCATCAAAATGCCACTGAATCGCCAAACCCTCGCCATCGTCATCCTCATCCTCATTACCCTCGCCGTGTCCGTACGCCGCACGGTGGCGGAAGAGCTGCCGGAGTACCGTGAGGCACCGGCATTTCGAAACGGGAGGGAATGTCCGACGACGGCGTGGTCGCCGTCGTCGTTGGAGAAGAATCCTCACGACCCGTCCATAATCCACATCGCGATGACGCTAGACGAGACCTACCTCCGCGGCTCCATTGCCGGCGTCTTCTCCGTCCTTCAGCACGCCTCCTGCCCAGAGAACGTTGTCTTCCACTTCATCGCAGACCGCCGCCGCGCCGCCGATCTCCGCCGCGTCGTCGCCACCACCTTCCCTTACCTCAAGTTCCACATCTACAACTTCGATCCTAACCTCGTCCGCGGCAAAATCTCCTACTCCATTCGCCGAGCCCTAGATCAGCCTCTCAACTACGCCAGGATCTACTTCCCCGATCTCCTTCCCTCCGGCGTCCGCCGCATAATCTATTTCGACTCCGACCTAATCGTCGTCGACGACGTGGCGAAGCTCTGGAGAATCGATCTCCGCCGCCACGTGGTCGGCGCGCCGGAGTACTGCCATGCGAATTTCACGAGCTACTTCACGCCGAAATTCTGGTCCAATCCTGTGTTTACGGCGTCGTTTCGAGGCCGTAAGCCTTGCTACTTCAACACCGGTGTAATGGTGATCGATCTCTGGAAATGGAGGGAAGGAAAGTTCACGGAGAAGCTCGAGCATTGGATGAGAGTCCAGAAAAGGTACAGAATCTACGAGCTCGGCTCCTTGCCGCCGTTTCTCCTGGTCTTCGCCGGCGACGTGGAGAGAGTCGAGCACAGGTGGAACCAGCACGGCCTCGGCGGCGACAATCTCGAGGGACTCTGCAGAGATCTCCATCCTGGTCCGGTGAGTCTCCTTCATTGGAGCGGAAAGGGGAAGCCATGGCTGAGACTCGACTCGAAGAAGCCTTGTCCGTTGGATAGCCTTTGGGCTCCGTACGATCTCTTTCGTCACAAGTCCTTGTTCTCGGACAGCTAAGAGAGAAGGAGAAAGAGGTAGAGAGAGAAAGTTCGCCGGGAATTATGGAGGTCGTTTGTTGATTACCGGCCGTCGGCGATCGTCAGACTCGGACAACGCGAGAGAAGAGATGAGAGAAAAGACGAATGAGGACAAACGTGATGAATGGGATTTTTTTTCTTTTACACGCGTACAAATCGTGTAGGATGGATGGAGGGTATATCTGTCTGCTTGTACAAATTCGATAATTTTGGTTATTTATGTTGCTTCTTTTGTAAAAAGAAAAAAAGGGAAAAAAAAGTGGGGAAAATGTGACGAATTGTTTTTGTCTGGTACGGTAAAAGCGGAGGAAGTTACGGCCGTTTAAGATTGATCAACGGCTGTGATGATACGTTAAAATGGACAGCTGTTTAATGTGAAAAGCGATTTTGACGCTAAAAATTTGGATTATTGTCTGATTGGTAGATAGTAAGTGGAAATATTACATTTGTACGGAAAGGGCAGTGGCAGTAGACTAGTAGTGGTTGCAGTGGGTGCCTTTTTAAATATTCGAAAATCCCAATTTAGATAAATTATTTTCCTATATTAGATTTGCCGGTGCTTTAGTGCCCGTTCATTCCGCGGGTTTACAATTCACTGCTCGGATTTGAATCCAATATCTAGTTAAAAGCTCGTGTTCAGTTGTTAAAACTTTTAACTTGAAATGTGATTGAGAATCCATGTGAACTAATTATATATGAGTTTTAAAAATCACTCTTAAGTTCTCATTGGTATGAATTTGAACTTATTTACTATATTATTTCTGATTTAAAATCATGACTTTATTTATGTTTTACTCATAATTCTCATCACTAACCAAACACCAATTCAAATTTTTATTCTCTCATACAAAAAGGTAAAATGCTGACATCAATCACAGTTTAATAGAATTTCAAGTTACAAACCATAAGATTATACATGCCTTAGTAATAATCAATGTGGAGGGTAGTAAGTTACAACTCTTTACTTCTTGTGTTCTCTTCACTTCTTGTGTTCGGCTCACCTCACTGGTAGTCACCACCTATTTAGCACTAATTATAGCGTCGTCTAAGAAGGGTTTAATAGATGAAAACATTAGAAAAATGAGTGCAAGGTCCAGTAGGATATAATTTTATAAAACTTTATAAATAAATAAAGTACATGGTTGGTGTTGGTCTCCGAATCGAATCCGGATGCGGAAGCGTGGTGGTGCGGGGAAGAGGCGGATCGTGTATAACAAAAATTTTCATAAAACTTTTGAGATACTCTATAGATTATATTAATTTATGCATGAATAAATTAATCTCATTAACTTATATATATCAAGAACTCAATCAGGAAAAATACCTGGAAGCCGACTCGGATAATAACTTGAGTTCTTTGACCACGAACAGTTCTTGCTCCAATCTTTGTGTTTAGAAAATCAATGTCTTCCACGTCAATTCCTAGAATCCACGAAGACGTGTGTGTGGGCACATATGAGACAAAACGGGTTACAATAAACACTCGAATTTCCACAAACACCAACGCATGCACGATGTGAAATTTTTGGAGAAAAAAAATTTTCCTTCCTTTTTCTCTTGAGAATTTCGGCCAGCCTTAACTCTTAGGGCTGAAAAATTGTTTCCGAAATTTCTATAGAGAAATTTCGGCTACCT